ACACACACACACACACACACACACACACACACACACACACACACACAGAGTAACACTTCCAGTGAATATCAGGTCAATTCCTTTTAAATGGTGCAGCAGTCCTTCGACTAGTCCTTTTCCCATTTCAAACCACAATCAAAAAGATACCAAAATATAAAATGAAGGCATGGTCTTTAGTACAGAAATACTAGAATTATAGAATGGGATGATCAGCACTTGAAGGTGAATGGTGGTTTTCTTTCAGGTGTTGGTGATGCTGTGTCGGTTTCCTAGCGTTTTTTGTTTTTATTTCAGATTTGTTATTTTTGACCGGTTTCTGCATTATGCAACACTGCAATGTGTGCATTGTTACCTCTAGATTCTCCCCCTTTCTACCCATATGTTATCCGAAATTAAAGTTTTTAAAATTAGTTGATGTATTTTAGTGGTGACTGCAAAGACTGAAATCCCCTCTCTATCTCTCTCTCTCAGCGCATTGTACAAGCAGACACGTCACGCAAGCTTTTCATTTAAGGGAAAGATTAGTAGGAAATACTTCCAGTACATCAGAGGCTAATAAAAAACATTTCAATGCCCAGATCGAATCAAAAATAGTAAAATACTGAGATTTGATTGGAATCTTTTTTAAAACCCCTTTTTCACCTGATACCATTTTTCAGAAAATGTTTTCTGCCTCGTAATAAAAATGTGTGGAGGTTTGGCCTCAAATAACTGGCCAATTGTTCCATTTACAAAAGGAAATGTCATTGATGCTATTGCTGTAACTCTTCTGTTTTGACAGCAGTTACCTTTGACATTTGTGCGCTGCTGGTTTACTCCATTTCTTTGCATTTTATCTTGTGATACACATCTAATCATTTGCTTTACATCTTAAAATAGGTAGGAGGTTCGAGAGGAACAGTTTTTTGCAGTTATCATGGCAGTTTCTGAGTGAGACTCTGAGCTAAAAGTGGTGTAATGTGTCTGTCTCACACCAAAATTTTCTGATACCACATCCACTTTGCCACCAGATATCCTTTCAGCTTCTCACCTGATGTTAATGAATTGTCCCGTTCTCTTCAGTGCATGGCTATGGTCCATTCCCATGAGCTGCTACGGAAATTCATCTTGTTTTTAAGTCGAGACGAGCAATGTGGTGATATCTGCGTGTGCTTGGAGGGAAGCCATACACTTTGTCTGCAGGGTGAGTGTTCCAAGGATAGCAACTTATTTAAGGTTATGCTTACTTTGGCAAAATAAAAACATTGTGTGCCGGGTTGCCAGTTATCCTGTATGTCACTGATTGAGTGGACCCCAGTTTTCTGTGTTCTGAAGTAAGATAATACCAGGGCACTCTGAGAGTGATATAAAAGATTATTGGAAGCGATTACAAGGCAGGTTTCAGATAAAATGACCCAAACATGATTTCCCTTCCTGAACAGTTAATAAAGTTAGATGCTACAATTTATTTCAATGCTTCTAGGGTATTGAGGGAGAAAATAAATTCCCTGTACTCACCATTATCAGAGGGTTTTTGTTGGTAAACTGCATGTGAATTTTGTTTAACCTTGCATATGATGTCTTCCATGGCTTGATTAATTTACTGATGCTCACTGTTCAAGCTCACCCATGGAGGGAAATTTGGCCAAGTGTTAAAAAGCTGCAAGTGCTTAATGAACCAGAGCCTAGTATGAGTCAGTGCAGTCAAGAAAAGTGAAGAGAAAATTGGGAGGGGAACTGAATTAAGTTAATCTTATTTGGACTATGGAACAGGATAGTCTCTGAATATTGATAAAAGTGGCTGTTCATCCTTAACTTGCATTTTTTTCAAAATTAAATTTGTCCAACCTGACACAGGGAATCTAATTTATCTGGCCTACCTGTCTGAGAAAGTTTTGGAGGAGGAGACAAATCACTTGGTCAGTGTGCTGACTGCCATGCTGTCGTATTGCCAGAAATATGTATCTCAGAAGAAGTCCAACCTGACGCACTGGCATCCAGTACTTGGCTGGTTCTCACAGACTGTTGATTATGGGTATGTGCTAGCAGTGGATGTCTGTATCATTAAGTTTATCTGATAATGTCTGTCAAGCTCATATTGTGTTTATTTCATTTCTCTATTCGTTGACCTCTGTAATCTGAGCCTCTCTCGGTGGAATCAGTGGTTTAGGATTTTCATTTGTGCTGTGTTTAATGTGTACTTTTGCTTGTCCTGGAAGGATTTGATATTAACACTGTGGAAAAAATGGTGTCAAAATGTTCCTTAGCAATTGGTGCTTATTGTCATTAATTTGCAATTATTCTGACCATTTTGCAATACAATTTTTTTCTGATTATTTAGTAGACTATGTCTTGTAAATCCCAACTCAGGGGTGATGGCTTAAACTTTCCTTTCTTGTTGTTTGTAAGAGTCTGAAGTGAAATCCGTTATGGAAACCTGAAAAATATCATTGAGTGTGAGTCCAAATTATACGTCATAACATAATTCAGCACTAAATCCCACCATTTTAAACTGATTCCACAAGAATAATTGATGTTGCAATAATATCAGGTTAGAAAAATGGGTTTGATTGAGAAATAAGTGTCACTATTTCGGTTGAACACACGCATATTAAAAAGATTTGAAGATAAAGATTGATGTAGGAGTTAGCCATGATGAACTCCATTACAGCTAGCAGGAAAAGAATATACCTAAAAGGGATTGTGGAGAATTAATGCACATTGTATTACAGGTAGTCCCAGATTTACGAACGTCTTTCTTACAATAGTTGTACTTATGAATGTAATCCCGTGCAGGGATTTTAAAGATCTGACATACAAACATTTCCTGTACTCTCAAATGTCTATTTTATATCGTCCTGGTTTGTGTTGCAACTTGCATACAAATCGACTTGCAAACGGATCCTGGAGGCTGCCTGTAATTAAATTCGTGCTTGCCATAGATAACATAAACAATTGTAAAATGTAAAAATATAGTTCAATAAACAGCAGGCCTGGCAAGACACATGGTAACATCACACCTGGCCATGAAAGTAAAATGTTAATTACAGAATACTGGATAAGTTGTGTCAATCGTACAAACTTAAAGCTTTGAGCATTTGTGAAATTGGCTAGTTTCAACTCAACAGACAAAAGTTATGAAGGAAATACGTCTGATCGAAGTTAACCCTAAAAAGAGTTAAAAGCTATATATTACTTAATTGCAGAAAATACCAATGCAGACATTGTCCTCAAATTGACTCTTTCAAACAAGACAACCAGAAAGAAAATTTGTGTGTTAAAATAGAAAATCTCTGACTGGTGCAGTAGAAGGTCCTCTCCTGAAGTTGGACTAAAGACATATGGTGTAGCTATATTAAACCAGCTTTACACTGAGCCTTTTCCCCAGACCAGATTGCCTTATGAAAGCCTGTTTCTCACTTGTGCATGTGATGACTTGAGTGCATGTGATGGCTTGAGTGTAAAACTTGAGGTTCCGGTTCTTTCCTTCAATATTGACATTTTCACATTGAGCTGTGCTTTATAAAATCCAGTTTTCACCTAACAATAAAAGTCAAGCCACAAACAAATAAAGTCCATGACAACAAAATGCAAACTTAATAGGTGTGATTGCAGAAGTGTCAAACGAGGAAAATTTCTCCCATGTCTCCTTCATTGTGTCTTTTCTCAGGTTGAATGAAGCAATGCCTCTAGTCACCAAGCAGTTACAGTACTTGTGGAGTGTGCGGGTCATTCGCATGCTGTTCCATGACGTGTTGAGCAAGAAACTGGCTGAGACCCAAGACATGGCAAATACTCAATTCTCCAGTCCTTCTAACAACATTCATGTCAAAAGTAAGCAACTGTTTTAGTTTGCATCTTTAATAAAACACAATAATCTAAGGGCCCAGCTTCCCTGATGGCTCAGTGAACATCCGAATTGCCCAGTTGTGATATCAAGTCGTGCAGACTTTTGGACTGATCTCAGCTGAGGCATTACACCTGGCCTCAGCATCTCTGAGCTGGAAGGGGATGGGGAATGTATTAGCCAGGGTTCCTCCTGCTGATGGCCTTTGTGGACACTAAGTAAAGGCTGTATTTTGCTTATGTCCTAACTGTCTAGACTCATAATTGAAAAATCATTATGACAAGGAGGTACATGGAGCCACAGACACCTGAGGCACCAAATCTCATAAGTCAATGCTGTAAAGAAAGAAGAAAACTAATGGAAACGTGATTTGCATTTGAAAGTAGACAGCTGTGTGATCTATCTGGTGGTAAAATGCTTCTTTCATTTCCAGGTCTGGGATTGGAAACTCTACCTGACCATAGAAATAAGCCTTCCCTCTTTCCTGTGGCAGTAAACTACCCAACTGAAATGAGATTGGAGCAGTTTGTGTTGTGCAAAGTCTGTGCTTTGCCTGGAAATGCATGCTTCTAGCAGTGGGAAATTGGGAATGTGCTACAATCAGTATCCAGATGAGTATAAAAAGACCTTTCCATATAATGGTTTGATTTTTCTCGTAGATCTCTTCATACGAGCATTTCAGAAGTCGGCGTCCATGCGAAACATTCTGAAGCCAGTGGGTGGGAAGCGTGTGGACTCTCCTGAAGTGCAAAAGGTCTGCAGTATCTGTGTGCTATATCAGACAGCACTGACTACACTCACTCAGATTCGACTCCAGATTCTCACAGGTCAGTTTTGTATTTTGGAGTATCCTGATAAAATCAGTGTTTTTTGTGTGTTTCAGACAAGATATATTTCCAAATGAATGAAGTCAGGTACACAATGGAAAGGCATTTCACCTAACCAGCTATCTACAATGGAGCATCATTCAGCTGAAGATGAGAAATTTAACCAGTGTAATTTTTCCAATTGCCATTTCTAATTTATTTACTTGTTAAATATTTATTCACTTTTGAAGCTGTAATAGATTCTATTTCCACTATTATTTCAACTAAGTCTCTGCAATGTCTCTCTGTAAATACTTTCTCCTTTTTTTATTCTTTTGGTGATCATTTTGAATTTGTGCTCTCCAATTACCAACTCAATGGAAATAATTTTTGTTTCTTTACCTTCTAAATGCATTTCAAAATTTAGAGCAACTGTACTACATCTGTTGAAACTTTCCTTTCATGAATGAAAAGGCAAGTTGTTTTTCACTAATTTCATTATTACTAAAGCCTTTAATCCCTCCTATCATTTTAACAAGTCTCTTCTGGACCCCTTCTGTAACCTAGGCTTCAATCCTAAAGAAGGTCCCCAAAACTTTACAGAATACTTTTGTGACTTTGCCACTGATTCACCCAAGTTTAGAGTGACCTTTTTTAAAATCAGTCTATAAAATCTAGATTCAAAAACAGCTTTTTCAATTTAGTCTTTCACATTTACGAATCATGTGAGGCATTGTATCTATTGACTGAGCCATTAGGAAAACCTAGTAAATAAAAAAAAGCTAAAAATATCTAAAATAAAACATTTGAGTCAGAAATGGGGAGATCGACATATGTACATTGTAAATGATTTTTAATGGGGGCTTCATGATGAATTGACTGCACATTCTTACCTATCTTGTATCCAGGGATTGGGACTTTGTGTTTTGAACAGTTTTGTATTTGTGTTTCAGGGTTAACCTATTTGGATGATTTGTTGCCCAAGTTGTGGGCATTCATTTGTGAGCTAGGGCCCCAAGGGGGCCTAAAGCTTTTCCTTGAGTGCCTGAACAATGATACTGAGGAATCCAAGTGTCTTCTTGCAATGCTAATGTTGTTTTGTGACTGCTCACGGCACCTGATCACGTAAGTTTGTGTGAGATTTGGGATAAACCTGCATGGGGTAGTGGGTTGATCAGGGAGGAACAGAACAATCTACTTTAAAGGGGAGCAGACGTTAAAGGTCAGGTCCTTCTGCTCTAAAATACTTCCTAATTTTATAGATGAAATTAGTAAGGAAAGCAGTCATTCATTTTGTTTTTAAATGTTCTTTCTCTTGCCTGTACAATGTCAGATGGGATCATGCCCTCTAGACACTCTGGTAACCTGACTGGTGAGAAATGTCAATAAAAGATCAAATCAAATCAAATCAAATGTCCCGATGCTTATTCTAATGGAAAGAACATTTGTCACAACTCTAAACCAAACATGTCTTTGTGTTGAACCCCAGAATATGGGAGAGATACTAAATGAATATTTTCCGTCAGTTTTACTGTGGAGAAACAAATTTCGATGTTTTAAAAAGTTAACATTACAGAAGAGGAAGTTCAGGAGGCCTTAGAGAATATAAAGGCGGATAAATCTCCAGGACCTGATCTAATGTATCCCAGAACATTGTGGGAAGTAAGGAAGGAAATCACGAGACCCCTTGCAGAACTATATGCATCATCTTTAACTATGGGTGAGGTGCCTGATGACTGGACGTTATCTAATGTTGTACCTTTGTTTAAGAAGGGTTGTAAGGAGAAACAGGGGAACTATAGACCTGAGTCTAACATCGGTCGTGGGTAAATTGTTGAAGGTGATTATAAAAGATAAGATTTATGGACATTTAGAGAGGCAAAAATTGATTAGGGATAGTCAGCATGGTTTTGTGCGAGGAAAATCGTGTCTCACAAAGTTGTTTTCTAAGGAAGTTACCAAAAAGATTGCTGAAGGCAGAGCGGTAGACGTTGTTTACTTGGATTTTAGTAAAGCCTTTGACAAGGTTCCGCTTGGTAGACTAATTAGTAAGGTTAGATCACACAGAATTCAGGGTGAGCTTGCGAATTTGATACATGATTGGCTTCATGGCTAGAGACAAAGAATGGATCAGTTCTGGGTCCTCTTTTGTTTGTCATTTATATAAATGATTTAGATGAGAATATAGAGAGCATGCTTAGTAAGTTTGCGGATGACACCAAAATTAGTGGCATAGTAGACAGTGAAGAAGGTTTTCTGAGATTATAAAGGGATCTTGATCAAATGGGTCAATGGGCTGAAAAATGGCAGGTGGAGGTGTTGCATTTTGGTACAACAACCGAGTGTAGGGCTTAGACAATTCATGGTAGGGCCTTGGATAGTGCTGTAGAACAGAGGGACCTAGGGGTGCAGGTGCATAATTCCTTTTGACGTTTGTGTCACATATAGACAGGGTGATTAAAAAGGTGAGATAACAAGGTGTAGAGCTGGATGAATACAGAAAATGAAGAAGGGTCTAG